CAGCCTTCCGAGCAGGCCGGGCGGGGCTCTGGGCACGGGACCGGGCAAGTGTCCACACCGGCCCCCGCCTGAGTTTACCAAGGTGTGTCCTCGGGACCTGCAGCCGATGGGACCACAGGTCTCCCCGGGGCAGCTCCGCGTGGCACGGGCCCCAGGGACAGGGAGCGCCCTGTGGCCACGTGATCATTCGTTCCCTCCGCAAGTGAGCGGAGAACAGGCAGGCCTGGCGAGGCGTCTCAGCCCTGCAACCCCAGCACTTTTGGGAGGCCAAGGCGAGCGGACGGCTTGAGTCTGGGAGCCGGAGGCGACAGTGAGCTCTGCCGTGCCACTCCTCTCCAGCTTGGGCGACAGAGGGAGAGCCTGTCTCTAAAAACAGGAGAGCTGGGGACAGGACAGTGTACAGGGCAGCCCCACCCCCAGCGGGCAAGGCTTTATCGGAGCAGGGGAGGCCGGTGCCAACAACCAGGGTGAAACCCAGGCCAGCGAGCACCACAGGAATGGGGGCTGCTGTGACAGTCCTCAGGTGAGTGCCAGAGCCACCAGCGTAAGCCGGGCGTGGTGGCTCACACCTGTAATCCCAGCAGGAGGTGGAAGCAAGAGGATGGTCTGAGTCCAGGGGTTTGAGACCAGTCTGGACAATTCGGTGAGACCTCCTCTACAATAAATCGAAAAATTAGCCGGGCATGGTGGCCTGTGCCTGTAGTCCCAGCTACTTGAGAGCTGAGGCGAACCGCCTGAGCCTGGCAGGTCGAGGCTGCGGTGGCCGTGAGCGTGCCCCTGCCCTCCAGTCTAGTCTTGCGTCTCTGGGCCGCCGGGCAGGCCCTAGAGCCTTGGTTTTCCGGCCTGTGCGATGGGGCTGATGATGACGCGACCACAGCTGTGTCTAGTCTGACCTCCGCAGCACTTCAGCGAAGCTGAATCCGAGAATTGAAAGGATTAAAACGGGGAGATGTTACACAAAGCCTGGATTTCTGAGTTATCTTCAAAACTCAGGAGCTTGGAGACTTTCCTGCAAGTTCACAGCTTTGCGCTGGCCAATGCGTCACCCCAGCCTGTGCAGGGATTGGCCCACATAAGCGTCCCACGGGGCCAAGGCGACAAGACGACACCGAAAGAGACAAGCCACACGCCCGGGGTGTGCTGTGCGCCCGGTGCTGCTGTCCCACTCACCCTGACTGTGCCACACCTCTGAGGCAGCCACGGTCACTGTGATTATCCCCATGCTACAGATTAGGAAACTGAAGCAAGACCGAGACTGGAGAGAGAGACTTGACAAGTAGGCGAGGCCACCAGGCGTCTGTCTGGGAAGCCTTCCTGGAGGAGACAGCACGTGACCTGGATCCAGAGCACCCCCACCCCACCCCACTCACCACCACGACTTCCATCAGCAGCCTGACCACAGCCTCCGGGGGCCAGCTCCACCCTCTCAGCCCTCAGGCCCCAGCCACCTGGCCTCCCATGGGCCTGGCCTTCACCTGGCCTCAAGGCCTGTGGCCTGCAGATCCCTCTGCCTGGGACAGGCCACACAGCTGGGGACCTGCTTGCCACAGGCCGGCCCCTTCCGCCTGATGCCAGTGCCGGGGGGCCTCCCTGGCTTCCCTGTCTGCGGCCCCCAGCACCCCTGACACAGCCACTCACTGGTACATCCCCCTGATCGCACAGGCCCGGCCCCGAGAGGACCAGGGGGCACAGCGCCCCATCAGATGTCGGCTCTGGGAGGGCGGGGTCTGTGGTCTTGCTCTCTGCGAAATCCTAGAGAATTCTGAATGAATGAATGAAGGAATGAACATCTCCCTTCAGTCCTAAACCCCCTCCTGGAGCCTACACGCAAACAGCTCCAGGGAAGGAGACCGAGTCCCCAGAGGCCTGGGCCCAAGTCCCTCCCGCCTGCTCCCTTGCTCTGTGGCTTGGGGCCGGCCGTCCTTCTCGGACCTCAGCCCCTCCCCAGCACTGGGGACAACACATCTACCCCGGGAGGATGGACATGCCTGTGTCCACCAGGACGGAACCTGCCCGTCAGAGCTCCCAGCCTGGCCTCGCTGTGTCCATGCCAGTGGGGGCCGCGGATCGCAGGGAAAACCGTACACACCCACTCCCCTCCCTCACTTGAGTCCCAGGACTCAGCCCTACCATGTAAACTGAGTCTTTGAGCTGCCTGGGACCATGAGGCCTGGCCCTGAGCCAGTCTAAGGCCCGGCCTTCTAGAAGCGCTCGGCTGGGCTGGAGAGGCTTCAAGGTACACAGCAGGGCAGGGAGTCACTATATCCATGTGGGGTCTACACCAGCCAGCAAACACAGAGCCACCACAGCCCCAGGCAGCGGTGCAGGCCAGGATGTCCAGCCCCGGCTGGGGTCTGCCCCGCACCACCCCTACCAGCAGGTGACCTAGGCGGCTTCCCCGTCCCCGGGCACCCCACCAGTAGAAAACATCAAAATCCAGACAGAACCTTAAAAAGATGAGCTGGGCGTGGTGGCGTGTGCCTGTCATCCCAGCTACTCCAGAGGCTGAGGTGGGAGGATCGCCTGAGCCCAGGAGGTCGAGGCTGCAGTGAGCCGTGACCGTGCCACTGCACTCCAGCCTGGGTGACAGAGGGAGACCCCTCACACCCCAGCCTGGGGTGATGGGTGTGTTGGCGCCTGGATGCTTGGGGGCTTTGAATCATCACGTCCAGTACCGCAGGCTTCCGTATGACAAGGACACCTCAAAGTGTCCCTTCTCGCCCTCTCTCCCCAGCCCATTTCTCCGCAGAGGCAGCAGGGTCCGGGGAAGCCTCTGCAACCCAGGACCCTCTGCCCAGGCCTGTTCCCTGTTCTGGGGATGAGTGGGGCCAGACCATGGAGTCCCGGGCTGCACATCTGCCTCTCTCCAGCAGCAGACGTGCCGGCCTGCGGTCCCGCCTATCCGTCCTGACCTGCCCTGGGGAGTCTCCAGTGACCAGTGCTGTAACCTCTGACTGCGTGACCGTGGCTGAGCTGTGGACCTTCTCTGGGTCTCGGCTTCCTCATCCATGCAGTGGGCGTAAGATGGCATTGCCTCGTGGGCTGCTGGGAGGTTTAAAGGAATCCACGTGGGTGAAGCACTGAGAATGGGATCTGGCAGACCCCGGGGCATTGGGAGGGTCGGCCACGCAGTCACCGGGCATGAGTGACCCTTCCTCCAATGCCCCAGCCCAGCGAGGGGATGGACTTTGATCCTTTCAATCAGGATAACTTTCAGTCACACTGGACCAGAGGCCCTAGACCAGCAGCTGATTAGATAACAGTGCTGGCAAGGTTCGTACCTTCCACCTCACGCAGCTGACTCTGTCCCCAAGCCGCCCCCCCCCCAGGTTAAAGATTAGAGCCCTGGAACACAAAGTCAGGACAGAGTGCCAAGTTGAACCCTGGTTGACGCGACTCCCTCCCACCCAGCCAATCAGACTCTTTGAGCCCATTCCTGGGTAGCCAGAAAGGTTGCCCGAAAGAGACTTCTGAGCTGGGAATTAAAAACAGCTGGGAGCCGGGCTCGGTGGCTCAGCCTGTAACCCCGCGTTTTGGGAGGCTGAGGTGAGTGGATTGCCTGAGCCCGCCGGTTCAAGACCCGCCTGGGGAACTTGGTGAGACCTCATCTCTACAATAAATCAAAAAATTAGCCAGGCGTGGTAGTGTACACCTGTAGTTCCAGCTACTTGGAAGGCTGAGGCAGAAGGATCGCCGGAGCCCAGCAAGTCGAGGCTGCGGTGGCCGGGAGTGGCCACTGCACTCCAGTCTGGGCGACAGAGTGAGACTCCAACTCAAAAAAAAAACAAAAAAAAACAAAAAAACAGCTGGGACCATGCCTGTAATCCCAGCACTTTGGGAGGCTGAGACAGGAGGATCACTTGGGCAACACAGTAAGACCTCATCTCTAGTTAAACAGAACAAATTGAAACAAAACAAACTAACAAAAGAAAAACTGAGCTGGGTTTTGCCAGAAAAAAAAGATGAGGTAGGGAGGGAGCGCCCAGCAGGGCCCCTGCCTGAGCAGAGGCTGCAAAGTCTTTAGAAGTGTGACTTACAGCTGCATGTCACCAGAACAAATGCTGTTAAAGTGACAACACATGGACACACTAGGACCTACACACACACACACACACACACACACACACACACACACACACACACACACACACACACACACACTGCCTCACGCCCACGCCATGGATTGCTGCTCTCGTAAAAAGGAACCAGCGACCAACAGGTGCCACATGGGTGAGCCTCAGAACTATTACCCTAGGGGAAAAAAAGGCTACTCAAAAAAAGAAGTGGGTTTCCCTTCTCTTTTCTTTTCTTGTAGAGTCAGGGTCTTGCTATGTTACCCAACTGGTAGCGAACCCCTGGCCTCCAGTGATCCTCCCACCTCGGCCTCCCAAAGTGATGGGATAGCAGATATGAGCTACTGCACCTGGCCACAAGTGCAATTTTTTTATAAGCATGGCACACTTCCATAAAAAAATGGTTAAGCTCTTGTGTGAATTTTTGAAATAAAAGATTAACTGCAAATGGGGAATAACCCAAACAGACATTTCTCCCAAGAAGACACACGGACAGCCAGCAGGTGTGCAAATCATGAGGGAATCCAAGCCAGAGCCGTGGTGAGATGCTGCTTCCCACCACCACATGGTTTGAGCGGTGGCGCAGGTGTGAGGACCAGAACCCCAGGTGTTGCTGGCGGGGTGTAAGCGTTGGCGATTCCTCAGGCGATGAGACGTGGAATCACCATGTGGCCAGCAATTCTACTCCCCAAAAGAACTGAAAACAGGTGCTCAAACAAAAACATGTATGAGAACGCACCCAGCAGCCACGAAGTGGAACCAAGCTACG